AAATGCAAGTTGCATATGTTATCACACATCCTGGTACACTGGCAACCGCATTGATAACGGGAGAGGAAAACATTATATAAAAGAATAACCCCATACACCTTAAGTAGTAAAATAACAGTAGTGCTCTCTCTACATGACGTACACCTTGTCAGTTCACAATCTTTAGCGAAATGTTTTTTTTTTTATTCACACAACACAGAAAGAATAAAACAAAAGAACGGATTTTTTGAACAATTTCACAATCCCATTAAAGACAGTGTCATTGATTGTTACATCTGGACATGCAGGAGCAAAATAAAACGGACAAGACGACCCGCTGGCAAGTGGTGCACCAGTGTATATAGAAGGAATCATACCAAACCATAGCTGATATCATCAGCGCTCTACGGACTAAGCTAGCGGAGTGATAAATTGTTGACGCTTACATGACTGCGTGACCTGGGAGTGAACTTTGTAAAGCAGTCTATATCCAGTGTTGGGTGCACATCCATTTCAAAGTTCTGGATTATCCGTAATCAGTCTCTTGGTTCTTTGCCTTTCAGGTAGATGTACTTCGACTTCAAAGGTGGCCCCTAATTTGTCGACTCATACGACATGCTCTATAGGGAGTAATCCACAATAAGACCCCGAAAAACATTAAAGGGTTCAAATGTGATTTGTATTCCATGATCACAGTCCAAATTAATCACGCTTAACGAACACTCAACAATGGTATAGATTAAGTATGCACTGATAAAAAAATATATCTTCATTTAAGTAACACAAATTGGGAACAATAAAAAAGTAAGAAACGCGTTAACGCAAAATTCGCATCTTGCATATCATCTTGCATATTATACAGTAAATATTAAAATGAAATGCAATGCATTATTAAAATCAATCGATAAGAAACTAGTCGCTTTCGAGAAATAGATGCCTCCGAAAGCTATTGAATGTTCACTGGTCGGACTTTAGGTCCAATACATCTATAAGACAGGAAAACAAAACAAAAATATGTGTCTGATTTTATTAGAAAGCGTCGCTGGAATTACATCGCGTCACGTACTCAGAATGGGACATACAGAGACTTCCCCACCAAGCCTTCGTATTGGTCACCAGAGGGTAAAAAGAAAACAGGAAGACCAAAAGAAACTCTCCGTAGAACCATCACAAGGGAGAGCTCAACCATAGGTCCTCAGTCGCACTCAAGACCTACATCAAGTGGCAAAGAACCGACAGACGTGGAAATCTATGACCTCTGCCCTATGCGCCATCTTTGGCACAAGAGGAATAAACTAACTAACTAATTAAAAATTAGTAAAGGACACTTCTCACACCAGGGGCTCATATGGCATATGGTGCTAATCCCACTCATCAACGAGAAAATTTCACTGGATGCGTGTTGTTTCTCTACAGTTCATCGACCGCGTGTACGTTTTTCAGTAATTTTCCTGGTACCTAGTTTACTTTGGGTAGGCCTAGAAGAAGCAAGATTAAACATTAGGGGGAAGGTAAAAAATCGAATCAGGTAATCAAGTAATGGGTAGTTATAACTGCATAGCAAAACGGGTCAATCCTTAACTGCTCCGCTACTGTGCAATTAAAACCAAACTTTGTCTATCATAGTCCCATGTGAAAAACAAAACTGATATAATTGCAGTCTCAGAAAAGTCAATAGCATACGCAGGCATCAAATGCATAAAACAGTCGTCAGAAGTGCCAACTCAAACAGCCCAACACTGGAATGCAGTTTATCGTCAATGAGGACAGCAGATACAACATATTAACTAAATTACCTTAATATCGTAATAAAAATAAAACACAATTTTAGCCACCTAAATCAAATTAGTAACAAAGGGATGAATATAATATGCAAAATCAAACACAGAGAAATGGTGACAGGAAGACAGAAAGACAATCAGAAATAAATTAAAAAACAACTGCTTAAGACTAATAGAGAAATTTAAGTATTTGGGAGAAATTTTCACATCCGACGAAAAATTGACTGAGAAGTTAGCAAATTTAGCTCGAGATGTGTTAAAGCTAATCAAGTATAGGGCAACTATCTCCAATGTTGACGCACAAGCAGATACCCCAGATTACTGAAGGTGAATCTTATCAGAAAATATTTTTTTTGCCCAACACTGTTGCTATCAGTGCCAAAAGTGGACACTTACATCTCCAATGAACGTAAAATTGTAACAACAGAAATGAAATACCTTAGAAGTAGCTGCAGGAGTTTCAAGAAAAAACGAAATACGAAATCATGAAATAAGACGAATGGCAGGAATAAAGCCAGTCTACAGGTCACCGAAGAACAAGAAATGAAGTGCTTCGGACAAATAACAAGAATGCCCTGCTACTATCTGCCACACCGAGCTACACTAAAACGGTACAACGGGCATGTACCTCGGAAAAAAATGGACTGATGGCATTAGGAACAGCCTCACAGAAATGAACATAAGTCTTAATTGTGCTCTTGACAGAGCTCATCAACGAATGTTACATCTTCCCCCGACACTTCGCTGAGGTACGAGGTGGAAGAGATGAAAAAGAGAAAGAAGAAAAAGAAGAAGAAGAAGAAGAAAAAGAAGAAGAGAGAAGAGAAGAAGAAGAAGAAGAAGAAGAAAGAAGAAGAAGAAGAAGAAGAAGAAGAGAAGAAGAAGAAGAAGAAGAAGAAGAAGAAGACAAAGAGAAAGAAGAAGAAGAAGAAGAAGAAGAACGAAGAAGAAAAAGAAGAAAGAAGAAGAAGAAGAAGAAGAAGAAGAAGAAGAAGAAGAAGAAGAAGAAGAGAAGAAGAAGAAGAAGAAGAAGAAGAAGAAGAAGAAGAAGAAGAAGAAGAAGAAGAAGAAGAAGAAAGAGAAGAAAACTTACATCAGTTGAGAAAATGTACATTATATATCTCATACTTTAAATTCAATTTGCTTTCTTAGGTTTTTTAATGCAACTTGAAAGTGAAATACGTGAATGACCCTTGTTGAACCAACGGTGTATAAAGCACATGGTAACAGACAACATTATTTTATAAACAAAACTGGCACAACATGGGTGATGTGGTCAACATCACTTCAGTCGCCTTTACTTGCTAGTATGTACGCATGTATTATGTGTGTATGCATATATGTATGTGTGTATGTATTATGTGTGTATACATATATGTATGTGTGTATGTATTATGTGTGTATGCATATATGTATGTGTGTATGTATTATGTGTGTATACATATATGTATGTGTGTATGTATTATGTGTGTATACATATATGTATGTGTGTATGTATTATGTGTGTATACATATATGTATGTGTGTATGTATTATGTGTGTATACATATATGTATGTGTGTATGTATTATGTGTGTATACATATATGTATGTGTGTATGTATTATGTGTGTATGCATATATGTATGAGTGTATGTATTAAGTATGTATGCATTTGTGTATGTGTGTATGTATTATGTATGTATGCATATATGAATGTGTGTATGTATGTATGTGTATAAAACAGGTTATGTATATGTATGTATGCATGCATGTAAGTATGTATGCATGTATGAATGCATTTTTATGTAAATACGTATATATATATATAATATATATATATATATATATATATATATATATATATATGTATATGTATATACGTATGCATGTACGTACTTATATAAATATAGATACATTTGTGTGTATGTGCCCCAATAGAATCGATTTGTGTTTTTTTCGGGGTGGGGGTGGGGAGGGGGTAGGGGAGCGTCTTTGTGGGAAGGTGCAACTAAAGCCTTTCACTGAGATGTGAGCAAAGGCGAAAATATCAAACCTATATGCAGAGTCACATCTGCTAACGTACGGGTGTGCAACATGTGATGTTAAGTGGCCTGTTGCAAGTATGGATTTGTGTCGTGGCTAGATCAATAATCACTGTATATTTTCGCTGACGAAATAAAAACTGGTAAACCATTTTAATTCGTGTTTGCTAATATATACAGTATACTATTTTTGTATACCTCACAACATTGAGGCTGCTTCTGCAAGAAAAGGTGGTTGCAAGTGATCACTAATATATGTCACTCTATGAAAATGCTGTTTCTTTATCGTTTCATAATATCTCCCCCCCCCCCCCTTTTTTTTTTTTGCCCATTTGTTTTACTGTCTACATTTTGCTTGCCCCCTTTTTACGTTTCCCTCCGGTATATTTACAGATACACATTTACATAAAAATGTATGACACATCCTATAATGAATAGTCCTGGGAGTAAATGCGGTGAAGAAGGTAAATGACAGTTTCCTTTATCGAGTTTCCCGTGCGAGTTCCGCAGCTCTAATTATAGGGAAAACTTTATTATAGAATAGACCCACTGCCTTTCCAAAAGCATGTAGTAAGTGTTAGGAGCTTCCTTTAATGTCAGAGTGCATCTGCCGGAGAGGCAAGGAACCGACAGTCTGCATACACGTGAGTCAGATTTGTAAAACGAATAAGCTATTTAGGATCTCGAACAGGAGTACAGTATAGAAATCAATGTACAGCCAGAACTTTCTGCCGTTTTAACAGTTGGTGAACCTGAAGAAGAAGAAGAAATTGACGATTTATCGAGTATTAATTGGTACTCTAATACACAAAATCCCTTAAATAAGGCCTCTCGATAGTTATCCACATGTCTGTGTGGCTACTTGGAGCTCCGAGACATGTATGATTTCAGATATGGAATACTTGCTTTAAAAAAAAAAGGTGTGGCAGGCATGACCCGTAGAATAAGAAATTTTATATGAAGGTGAGCAGAATGTTACGGACAACGACAAGGAGGATTAAGTTGGCTATCTTATACAGTAAATTCATATAACTGTAATAGTAAACCATAAACAAAGCTAAACAAAGGTGAGAGAAAATATTTGAGAGAATATGCCCCAATGAGAGGTGAAAGTCAGAAGAGAAAGGGGGTTTAACATCAAGAAACGTGGTATTTAATTGGCTCGTTCAATGACATCCAAACTGACTGCCAGCATAGATAATTCTGACGTCATACAATTATAAAATGTGGCAGCAGAGGAATCCTTTTAGCTGCGTCTTCATTCGACTTCCATTTCTGAGCTGGAGGTTTGCACTTCCACTATCCTTGCCAATCAGTGGCGATTTTTCGGTCTTGCTCTTGGCTGTTGGAGCACCGTCGGATGTCTGTAGAATGTTCCAAACAATACTGTGATTATTATCATTATTGAAATTACTGAGATTCCTGAGACTAAATAACAGTGGTAGGATAGTTGATAGTTGTAGTAGTGGTAGCAGCAGTAATAATAGCAGTAGTAGCAGTAATAGTAGTATTATTAGCGGAAATAGTAGTAGTAGCAGTAGCAGTTAAAATTGCAGTAGAAGATAGTAGTTAACAGAAGTATCAATATCGACATATTATTTTAGTAGCATTAACAGGATAGCAATAGTAAAAGTCATAGTTATATGATAGTTGCACTAAGAGTAGTAGCAGCAATAGTAACAGCAGTAGTAGTAGCAGCAGTAGTAGCAGTAATATTAGTAGTAATAATAACAATCGTAGTTATAGAAGTAATAATTACTAGGGCTGTGCCGAATATTCGCTTCGTATTCGCTTCGAGGCAGAATAGTGGACCTATTGACTATTCGGTATTCGGCCGAATAGTTGCGGTCGAATAGTAGTCACCTTGCACCCGCTTCTGCATACACGGCCTTAACACTGGCAACATGGAACGATTGGTTATGTTCAAAGCTAACGCAGCTTTCCTGCATTAACTAAGCGGTCAGTGACAATTTCCAAGTTTAGTTATAATACTTAGGATTCTTTTATTTTTAGTTATTAGTTACCACAAACTGACTGAATGATGCAAAACATAAAATGGTTATAAATGTTTACGAATACTAACTAGACATGGAAAGAATATAAACTCAGGCAACATCCAAGTCGATAATATAGAAATCAAACGAACGGAAACATATAAGTACTTGGATGCAAACTTCAACTGCTCCAACATGCTGAGAGAAGAAATACAATCTAGAATACAATCTAGAAATAAAGTATACTATGCCCTTCAACAACTGCTAGAGTCAAAGTGTCTGTCTCGCAACACCAAGATCAAAATATATAAAACGTTGATAAGACCAGTCGTTTTATATGGCACTGAAATTTGAAGCAGAAATAAAAGAGATGAGGCCTTATTGCAGGTTTTCGAAAACCGTCTTACGACATATCTTTGGACCCATCAAAGATGCTAACAGCGGGGAATGGAGAGTGAGAAGCAGCAACGTAACACATAGTCTGTTTAAATCACTATTGATCACTGGCATCATGAGAGCTAACAGACTAAAATGGTTGGGCCATATTGAAAGAATATCAGATGACAGAGTGGTAAAAACTGTATACACCTGAGAGAGAAATGGGCGTAGACCACGAGGCAGGCAAAAAAGAAGTTCAAGAGATAATGTCCAGTCAGACCTGCAAATAACTGGTGTTACAAATTGTGAAGATAAGGCCAGCCAGAGAGATGAATGGAGACAAGTGATATCTGCAGCAGTAAACCTCAAGGGCTCAAAATGATAAAGAAGAAGATGACTATTATGTGCTACTTTATGTGAAGTAAACGTTCAGCGTACATTTGACATTATGAATGTGTTTAAAAAAAAAATTCGATATATTTTATACACTATGCACTATTCGTATTCGTATTCGGCCGAATAGTTGGTCCCGCTATTCGCATTCAGCCGAATAGTGAAAATCACTATTCGTTACAGCCCTAATTATTACATTGGTAGTTGTGTAGTAGCTGTATTAGTAACAGTTGTACTAGCATCGTCAGCCACTATTTTTAATGGGGATGTAAGCATTAACACTACAGCAATGCTAACTTATATAATAAAATGATAGAAGTTATAAGAAGTGTAGCAGTAGAAGAAGCAGTAGTAGTAGTTTTTTCTGTTGCTGCAAATTCACTAGGCAGTAAAGTCATACAAATAAATGCATTTTATTCTCATAAATACTTTACAATTTCATTATTAGTAATACATGAGAGTATATATATATATATGTTCCTAATTCAATTGCATTTGGTGTTACAATAGTCGTATCACCGTTTTAATCTCCGGTCACCTAATAAATACAGTTTTAACATCATATATCTAAAACACCCGAAATTGTGTAAAATGTCACTGTCTTTACGTAAATACCATGTTATAATAATGCTCTTTATTCATTCGTCAGTTTCGACTGAGGCAGTAATGAAAGCAGCAGAATCATAGGTATACTACATCCACAGGGTCTAAACAGTCAATCCTTAGAGGAAACAGATGTGTTGAAGGAGTTCCTAGTAGGCCCTGACTAATTATATGATGTACAAACTTACATAACAATTTAACTGCCATACACGAGTAACATCCAGTCACTCGCAGGGAGTTGTTTTGTACTCAAAGAGATCACCGCATAGGCTTGCAGGTTACATCTGGCTGGTGTACCTGTTATGTGTTTCCTAATTGTAACTTTTTAGGAGGTTGAATGGGGTATCTGTGATTTGTCTTATTGGTCTTCCGTCCCGACTGAAGATTTTTATATCTCAGGATCGTAAGATAATACGACAAGAACTCCACAGGAAAGCATGCACAGCTGGGGTCCATCGATCATCAGTAGAAAGATCTTTTGTCGACGATCGTTTCGGCCCAACATTTCACTAGACAATCTGGAAATGTGAGCCGACTGGGTCATGAAACCAACCCTCGATCTTCATCGGACTCGATAGGGCAAAACGATATGGTGACTTTACAATGTAATAGAAATTGTAGGCAGCAGCCTGGACGGTACAAACCAATCGATTTATTCACTTTCGACAATGAATTTCACTTTAATCAACAGTTCCGGAAACTGGGTTCTTAGCCCCCTCAAGCTGCCCCATGCACTCTCGCCACTCCGGCTTTTCCAGAAATATTGTGAAAGTTGGGGTTAAGTGGGTGGTTGGTTGGACAGGGACAACAGAGGGGCCATCACATCTCACAACCATGTATATTGGTTTTTCAAGTAATTGTTTATACATTGTGTATTATTTATAACAAATTATTGATTCAGCCTTAAATAGGTGCCAGGTACAGTCTTGGGAAGTCAAGTGGGCCGGCGTGACGCTGACCACATCACCCACCTAGTGCAGATTAGTCTAAAAAAATAAAGGTCTAGCCCTGTATGCTTAATACATATGTAAGCGTGAAAATGAGTCCTATGCTTAAGTGTACTTTTGGTGCCTTTGAGAACAATATTATTTTTATTAGCCATTCCTACTACCACTGCTGCTGCTGCTGCTGCTACTATACTACTGCACTATTCTGATATGTATTGTCATTACTATCATTACTACCATTCCGACTCGTATTTAGTTAGACAAGGTTGTGACCCCTTGATACCCATTCCCCTACTTTTACTAGAGCCTCCTACGGGATATTTGCTTTCCACCCATCCCTATAAATATATATATATAAAGATATGTTTTTGCCATATTCTGCCCCCCCCCCCCCCCCCCCCTGATGACAACCCCAACCTCTTACACCACCTTGCGACGTTTGTTGAGTAGGGTGTGCAAAGAGAAAACTAGTTTTCTCACCTGCGAATCTGTACCTTCGGGAGCTTCGATGTCAAATGATTCTATTTTTTTCCCTGATGAATCACAACTCTCAGAAACCACCTAAAGAGACAATTTGAAAAAGGCTGCGCCATTTTTAAAGATTTTATCAAATCCGATTTAATAAAACGTGTATCAATTCTTACATTTACTATCCCATCCGTCTCTCAGGAAGACATCATGGCCAGGTACTTCCTAACATGTGACTGAATGTAGGATTGGGTTATCTTATCCCATAAAACACTACAGCCACAAAAAACCAACTAACAATAGGCAATGCTTTCAGAGACGAACATATTCTATTGAATCATTATTTCTCTGTATGCATTGTGGCACCTGAGGCTTCGTGTTTCCTGCAATCTTCAGTGCAGTTTTCCTTGTCAGAGATGCAGCTCTTACCATCATTCCTTTCTTTTTCCCTCAAGTGTCCAACTGAGAGCTGTTTTGACAGGTATATCAGGATTCATTCCCATGACTTGGCCAAGACATTTCCGTATTTTTGTATTTATACTATTTAGAGTTTCTTAGTTTATCACTTGAAGTAGTTTAGTGTTTGAGATTAGATCTGGCCAGAAAAGTCTGATAATTCTACATAGACAAGTGGTGGATGCTGGATTGTTTGTGTGCATCCTTTTTTATCATTCTCCAGCATTCTGCTCCATAAAGAAGATCTGGTAAAATGATGCTTTTGTGGAGTCGGAGTTTTGTTCCTCTGCAGTAAATGTGGATTTCCATACCTGCCTCCTCCTTCTAAACGCTGCTCTAGCTTTGTTGAAACGTGATTGTATGTTTTCCTGTGTTTTCTGTTGGCATAGGAGCGGAGCAACTATGCGTGATCCGTTTGCTATGAAGCTGAAACTAAGATTACCAGATTACCAGATTACCATATGTTTTCCTTTGTCCCTCCTACCCAATAGGGATGTCACCCTGCCATGATTTGTGAAATGATCTACATTTTCAAGTATTTTGATATTCAAGGTCACTGGTTGTTGGTTTGGTCTGTTTGTTGTGATCTTAGTTTTCGTTGTAATTATTCGCAATTCCATCATTTCTGCTGTGTTGTGTAGTCTGCTACTTTTCTCTTGTATATGTTCATATTTATGCGGTAGGAGTGCTATATCGTCTGCAAAATCAAGGTCCTCGAGCATGCAGTGAATCATCGAGAAAAAAGACGCTGATGCTGGAAGAAGACCCACTGAGAACATCTGACAACAAGATAACTAGAAATATAACAGTTAAAAGCATATTGGACGGCAATGGGTAAAATTGTTAACGGCAAACCACAAAAATAAAAATATTTTAAAAAAATGCAAGACGCTTAAAGAATGTTAATAATGAATGGGAGAAAAGAATGTATGTTGAGGACATGGGGTGAGAAGCAGGCTATAGGAAAGGGTAAAACGGCCTGGTACCCGTTAATTAACAGCCTATGCTCAGGTAGCGGGCAAGTAACGCAAGAATAGCAACAGAAAAATAATCATACACATTTCTTAATCTATGCTGCCTTTGAAAGTTTTCACTTATCAGCAATTCGTCGTTCATTTAGCTGTATGAAAGCAACTTTTTGGACAGCATGAGGCTTGATAACAATGTTCCAAGTAGAAGGTTTAGTAACTGGTTGACTGTTGAGTAAGATAGTTAGTTAGTTAGTTAGTTAGTTAGTCGACAAATTATCCTCATTGCACGTCGAACCACTAAATCCATAAGTGATTGGATCCCCTCCTAAGTAAATCCCGCAGTGTGTAACGGCTAACGACTCCAGTTCTGTGGTGGTTTATTTTTTCTTTAGGTACCCGCGCAGTGTTCTTGTTTGGCGACACCCTGTTTAACATGTTCTTCTTGCAGTCTGAACATGGTTGCAGATTCAGTGTTCTCTGTTGGTGCAGGCAAACGTCTTAATTTTCTTAGAGCATTCAGTATATCAGCCTGGTATATGGCTTGTCCTGCTTTCACAGTAGCCTTACCTTCAAGCCTATCCGTTTGCTCATTTCCTTGTACCCGCACATGTCCTGGCTAAATGAAACTAAATCTTGTCAGCAGTTAATTCTGTAGAACTACCAACCACTGCCTTCGGACCCACCCCTTCTCTATCTTCCTGAGCATACTCATCTAGTCACAGAGAAAGTATGCCCCAGTGAAAGTCGGTGTCTGTAGCCATGTTACTGCTTTAGTCACAGCCATGACCTTCATTGTCAGACTACTTGTAGTTACGGCAAAAGCTCCAGAATCATCCTTTACAACTCTCCCTCCGAACTGAGCCGTGAAACCCACGAGCTTCTAACGTGGCTGATTACAGAATCATCTGTGTAAATGAGAGCATCACCCTCTTGAGAGTTCTTGAAAATCAAGGCTTGAGCTTCTGCTTCCACAGTAGCAGGACTCTGTTGTCTGCATTTTCTGTCTAGTTGGGTGCGAAAATGTCAGGCTGAGGGCACCTTCACCAACTCCTTCCGGGTTCTATGCTCAAGGAAACATATCTGTTCGTCCCTCGGCATGGACCCATCCACATTTGCCTCTTTTTGACCTTGATCTTATTGAATGGACGTAATGGACGTTGTGTGTCCGCCTTGACTGTGATGTAGGCACGAGCTCGGGAAATTTGTATTGTCTTCCATGTTTGGAAAATCGAAAAGGTAGCGCACAGCCCTGCATGCTGTATCTCTTGTACACCCAAGTATAATGCGCATAGAATCGTTTTGTATCCTTTTCATCCCTTCCATCTGCTTATGGCTGAAAGTCAGGATCGCCATCGCGTATTAAAAAACAAAAAGGACCAGACCCTGGTAAAGAAGACATAGATGACGCTGCTCACAGTTTGCCGCCGCAATCACTCTCATCGCAGCCAGGCCCCTCTTGACTTTCATTATAATCTGATCTATGTGCTCAGTATAAGCAAGGCTTCGATCAAAATGTATCCTTAGGTATTTCATTGCATTCGCTCTATCCACAACCTCAGAACACAGACTAATAACTAGTGTTGGAGTTTTCACAATATGGTTATTTAAAGAGAGCCATGTCACTGCCGCCTTCGTTGCTTTGACCAGTGCACCATCTTCACCACACCAAGTGCTTATGCGATTGAGCTCTTTTTGTAGTTCTTCAGCATTCTTGTCTTTACCCTTACCCTGACCATATACTAAAACATCGTCAGCATATGACAGTTTTCTAACGGGTGCTGTGACTGCTAAGCAATGTATGATGTGTTAACGCCTTTTTCTTTGAATTTTGATAATCGCATCTTATGGTTTCTGATATTGTACAGTTTGCCTTGAGTGTACACTACAAAAAAGACTGAAACAAGAATGGCAAGTTTGGCAGTGTATTTGTAATCAATGCTTCCATGAAAGTGCTCTTAGTAATTACTTTACCCTTGTGACATCTCCTGTGAAACTTGGCACTGAACGAGTTAACTAGAACTGAGTGGATCGATGAAACAACTGTGTGGGACTGGAATGGTTAAACATTGTTAAAGTTTGTCCCGACTGCTTCATCAGTATTAAATTGTGTAACTATGAAGTCCAATTTGGATATGGCTTTGAGTTATGAAACATTCAATAGAGATACTTTTTAACTATATATAATAAAATTGCCTGGACTGACTTATCTATTGAATGTTATCAATGATTTCAAATGCAGTTCTTACAATCATGCCAGTTGCCTCTAAGGGTTGAATTTATTTGGTGCAAAACTGATGCCGAATAATATTAGATATTATGCTGAGGATTACAAAATGCTTAAAAAGTCACATATGGAAACCTGAAGTTATTATATGAATTTTTGGGTATTTTTAGAGTATTTAAAGCGACGCCATTATATACATATATATAAATAAATATGCCTGACAGCAACTTACCCCATTCGCCTTCACATCATTTTGTTTGTCTGCTTCAGTACCATCTGGACTCTCGCATTCTTCCTTGATCTGTTCCGGTTTTTCACCATCAGCGTCATTTCCCTTATAAAAGATAAGATTATTACAAACAAAATCAGCATGCAATCATACTCCTTATTTCTTTCTAACAAAGCTTACTATCAAATTGCTCGTCTATGTCCGCGCTAGAGTAAGTAAAGTAAAAAAGTGAAGATCCCTTTACACGCCCTTCGGCGCATCGGGAATATGGGAAGAGCACCCATATTTTTACAGACCAATCGGCACTCGGTGGGTAATGTGGTGAGCATTACGCCGGCCGTCTTTACTTTCCCAGGACAGCCCATCCTGGTACCCATTTGAGGCTGGGTCGACCTGCGACGTCCCATACCACGATAAAAATCCACGCAGCCCACGCAGGTTTCGAGCGCCGCCTGCGCTAGAGTATGTTGATTTAATTCTCAGACAATTTACCAAAACAAAACTAGCTGCTCCATATGAGATGCAAAGTATAGGAACAAAATGAAATCTATAAATGCGTTTGTTTAACAAAATACTTCAATATGCGGAAATCAAAATTGTGAACCACTTTCGTCCACAATAATGCAGACAGAAAGACATGGTTGTGAACCTTCGTATTCGTTGGTAAAATAGGCAGTTACTTTTGAATATTTTCAATTTTTGAGTTTAAGCTGCAAGAATTCATTTATTTGCTTCATTTATGTTACTGGAGTATGCACCTGACGAGTTGCAGCAAAATATGCACATCACTAAATTGGCAATCTGTTTTGTGTGTCTTCTCTGTTCACGATTACAATGAGGAAGCATTACTTTAATATTTATTGATTAGTTTGTATTATAATCGCTTTAGTTAAATTAGAAAAAAAGCAACTCACTGCGATATTAATAAAGTCTATACAACTATTGGGGAGCATGATTCGATATCCTGGTATCACAATATGAGGCGACATTCCCAAATATACATTATGGTGCACTTGTATTCACGGCGAGGCGCAGACGCCGTCTGGAGGTGACAGGTTCAATTCACGGCACGGTAACTATAGCTTTAGATCTTTATGTTGTCTAGTTTGTTCTTCTATCTTTCTACTTCTTTCTATGAGTGCCGATCAATACACTTTCTGTTACTTGATTAATTCATAGAATAAGTAAACAAGTCCGGATTTGAACCCAAGACCTTTGAATTCGCAGGTGTGCGGCTAGCCGCTAGGCAACGGCGGATCCCGTGAACCAGTTAAGCTGACATTAAAGACATGAACACTCCTGTTATATTACCTTTGTGCCATCTTGTATCTGGTCACCTGACAGAAACAAAAACAAAGAAACTCCTCATTTTTAAGTAATAAATAAAAAAGTTTTTGCAAAGAAGGAGATAAAATAATTATTAATTACTATCATCATCAATTTTTAAATGGTTTGGTTGTTTTTATGTCTCCTCATAAATGATCAGTTTCTAGTGTGGCTTCCACCCCAATCCCTCTTTTCCAACAAGCATGTTTGTTTGTTTTAGTATCCAGAAACCATGAGTTGTTAACCCTTAGGCTCGGTATTATGGATATCGCAACCTTTCGGCCTTGATTCCATTCTAAATACCGTAAATCTTGAAGAAATGTCGCTTTTCTGCCTACCCCCGTGAGTGAACCCGGACCACAAGGAGTCTCCGCGCAATCCGGATTAGCCAATTACGCTAGAGAGCCGGCCTAGTGCATCTGTCTAAGAGTCAAGGAACCAGTGGTCTGCATACAATCAAGCCACGTCTGTAAAACGGATGGATGTGCATGAACAATTTAAGCTCTGGAACAAACCTAAAGTCCAGAAGTGGACGAAAAATCAGAACTTTCCAAGGAGTTTACAGCCGGTAAACGCAGAGAAGAGAAGAAGAAGCGATCAATGACGACATGTATACATAAACTGTTTGCTGTTTTGATGTAAAATCTGTTTTCCTTTACTGTTCTGATAATGGATAATTTCCTACCTACTGTCATAATACTGACAGTGTGCCTTTTTTTTTTTTTAATAGATTGTTAGATAATATGTTATTTACTGCTATCTATTATGTTTGATTTGCAATATCATTTTTATTTTTTTCTCTATTCTCTCAAACTAGGAGTTTTAGTTAATAACTCGTATCCGTTTCTGTACATATATATATATATATATATATATATATATATATATATATATATATATATATATATATATATATATATATAAATATTGTTTTATCTTTACTGATCTTTCCCTGTCTAGTTTGACATTTAGGGCAATTGTTTTCAAGTTTATTTTCACTCCATATTTTCAGCATTAATCTGTACACACAGATACATGCAAACATAATGTGTATTTTAGTGTGTGTGTGTGTGTGTGTTGGTTACGTACGTGTGCGTGTCTATGTGTTCACTTTCTTGTAAGCCGCTCTTTCGTTGAGTAAAACGTTAACATAATTTAGGGGCCATATTTTCAAATGACTGTGTAGCTTACACATTAACTGTCAACTGCTATATTAACGAGTCTCACTTCTAATTCTCCGAGACTGCCTTTACCTAAATAATAGTAAATGAAACCGTCGCATTTGTTGCTTTTTTTTTTTTTAACGGCAGTTGCTATTTCTGTTTTTTTAAATGCATCTCTCTCCCCACCCCTCTCTCTCTCTCTCTATGTGTGTGTGTGTGTGTGTGTGTGTGTGTGTGTGTGTGCGTGCGTGTGCGTGTGCTTACTAATATGGGTTGTTGGTTTTAAGCACGCACGAAAGTGTCCATTGCGCCTCCTATTGCAAGAGTAATTTAATGCGCAACCGAGATATCAGAAACGCAACAATACCGAGAAGAGACTGATTTGTAATATTACAATTTTACATTTTTTTAAACATACCTTTATTTTTATTACGAGTGTACATTTAAACATGTGTATTACACACCGATTCTGTACTACAATTGCCACAAAGTGATATTATCAGATACTCGGACACGCAAAATCAACACTGGGGAGACGAGATGCTATAGGAAAGCTACCAATTTAAATATAGGAGAATCAATAGGAAACGATATAGTTAAACAGATTTTGAAATCACATCAAAATTCTTTTAGGGCAGTGGTTCTCAACCTTCCTAATGTCGCGACCCTTTTAATACAGTTTCCCATATTGTGGCGACCCCCAACCACACAATTAAGTTCGTCACTACTTCGTAACTTCAATGAATATGTGTTCTGCGATGGTCTGTGGAGAACCATCTGATAAGGTCGTTCGACCCACACACAAAAATCGCGACCCATATGTTGGGAATTGTTGCTTTAGAGCATAAAATCAAATGGTTCATTCATCTTATGAGAAAAAATTCACACAATTACCGAAGACACAGATGCCATATTTACGTAGAGGGGATACGAAACACAGAGATGCGCGTAGTGAGATGATAGACTTCTTCCTCTTCTTTCTCCACATTGTCTTTTACCGTTTCGGATGACAAAAGAGATACAAGGTTCCGCTACCTGCTCTTCCTGCCGTCTCGAACATAGACACATCAAGCAGTTGCAGCGTTCCTTTGATGTTATATTTCCGTCTTGTTCTATCTCCACCTGGCGCTCTTTGTTCATCTCCTCTTGTGATGTGTGCCTTGTATGTATGTTATGGCATCACAAGGTATTCTCTCTAGATGAGGAAACCATTTGATAGTGTCTTATTATGTAATTTTAGAGTTTGTTCTGTGCCGATTTTTTCTCTTATTCCTGATTTTATCTTTTCTAGTCAGACCTGATAACTTCTCACTCATCTCATTTCCATGGCTACTAATTTACTTTTGTGGTTTGTTGCGAGTAACCATGTCTGTGACTGGCCGCATAGATTTGGAATGTACATGCTTTGTATAAGCTGTTTCTCTGTGCTGATCAGAATTGTCTTATGCTGTAAGAGAGAGACCAACTGTCACAATAGTTTCCTTCACTGCATGTGACCTTAATTTCTTTATCTAATATCCCGTCTTCTGTGAATATTGTTCCCAGATAATGTAAACTAAGTTGCCTGTTAAATGAGTACACGGACTGACGGTGTTAAAGCTCCTTACTCACCGACTGTCTGTACCCAGTGTCATTTATGATGTCCTGGACAACCAACTTATCTTCCTTGGGCACATTGCGACAAAAAAGCAGATAATGATGATAAAGTTCATACTTATATGATAGGCAAATTAATTAGATAATAACTTATAAATTTTTTTTTTTTTTTTTTTGGTCATAGAGGTGTTTGTGTGCATATTGTGTTTTTAACTATTTCATAAACTTGGCATACAGGGCTCGAAGTCATCTAACAGTGGCTTGGTAACAGACTGTTTTGTTCCTTTAGCAAAGTTATGAGCGATGTACTCTTCAGTAATGCGCCTTGTGTTGGTTTCGACAGAGGTATCAAGAAAGCCGACCCTCCAGAAAGCAATGGCAAGCTACTGGACGTAAATTTGCCTAGAAAAACCACACAACAGCTAGGCGCTGTTGGGGTTGGTTCTGCAACGTCCTGTAAAGGATACGCAACCAACATGGACTATTCAGTAGCAATGGCAAACTTTAAAAAAGTGGGTATTTACCACAAGTGCAGTGTAGGCGGGTGAGGGACGGGGGGGGGGGGGTGTCGTGAGACTGACTTAGGGCTGCATGGTTATTGCTGTCACCATGGACTTTACAGGTTAGGATTTTTTTTTCTGGAAAAAAAAAAATCCAAGCCTTGCTAGAGTTTCATACCAATGTGTTCCGTACAGATTCTTGTAAGTTGTAACCCTGGGGCAGGACAACATAGTGGGAATGGTATTGTCTGGAGTCAACAAGAACGGTTGGTTACATGTGTCAATATGTTGCCCAGTGTTTACTCAAGCCAGGAAATATTTGTAGGTGGAGTCAATTTTTTGGCAAGAGGGAAGACTTGACACGGGATGGACCTGTTAGCATGACTTGTAGGAGTTAGCCGCTGAGACACGTAATAAGGATGGGATGCGGGCTAGCGTGCTTCTAGTGTGGCCCGAGCCGCCCACAAGGCGCAGACAAGGGTACATACTGGGGTTGAGTCGACCAGAGAGAGGACAGACAGAATACCGCAGTACGTGTGGGGTATGAGCCAAAATTCTCGGTCGCGGAAGAGAGTTCAGGCAGCAGAGTGAGGATTGGACACTCAAGAGTAACTGTTTTGGGTGACGACGCAAGGAGGCGTAAGCTCACTAGTCAAAGCAAACAGCGGGGATGCCGGCGATAGCTGTGTGCTTAAGGGGACTCGAGCTGGGAGTTCTACCGGTCATCGGAGTCCTTCGACGAGCTGATGTGCGGTGTGCACATGCTGGAGAACGAGTGTTTTGAGTCCGTTTTCAGTCAGCCCATGTGTCTGCTCAGTGTAGAGCAGACGTCCAATGGATAGAAGAGATTTCTTGTACAGCGAGCCCTGAGTTGCGGGACGCTGTAGACCTACGAACTGTAGCGGTCAGCTCATATGTAGTGGCAGCGAGTGCAAGCTGTCCGGGGGAGCGACGCTATACTTGAAAAGCGAACAAAAGAAGGGGTTAGATTTACAGGTTAGCCAGGACAGATGTCCACATCACTTCGCTTGTATATGTGAGGGATTGTGACTGTCCCCTGTGTCGTGACAATAATCGTATATGTATGGCGGACATTACCTCGTTGATTTTTCCTAAGAGTTGTATGTGTGGAACCGAAAACTGTATCCTTGGACATTTGACTGAGTGCTGATTGTTGTTACACCCAGGATAGCACAAAACACCATATCTCCTGCTTTGGAGCCGTGCGTTCTTATCCGTTAATCACGCGCTTCTCTGTAATGGTAAGCTACTGAACGCAATATTGTCTTTTAGAACTACACAATAACCACTACATGCTGGTGTAGTAGCCTCTGAATAACGGCTCTAGATTATCTAGTTTAAAAACATACCCTTACAGAGCCTCAATGATATTGAAATTTCGATTTATTTCCGGCATTTATGGCAGGCAGGCAATCAGCTCTGATAAATATTAGCAATAACATTCTACCGATTGATGAACTGTCAGCTGTATTTGTTAGACCTGCCGACTTATATATATTAATGAATAATAAATAAACTACAGTGGTTGCAATGGCTTGCTATGCACAGATTAACTCGACACACAGTAGAATGGTCTTGTTGCGCACGTCCCATGTCGTTAGTTTCGCATGTTAGTTCAACGTTGCCCCCCCCCCCCCCCCCCCCCCCCCAATAGAGCAGGTCCCTTTTTATTCACAATTTTGTTTGGCTGATTGATTTTCCTGTAGGTTACGGGTATATCCCGCTCTGTTGTTTAGTTTCAGCGATGTCTTGCATTTATGTTTTTATTCCGAGAAAGAGAAAGCATGTGACATAGGTTTTAGCACTCTCTGGGTGGGTAGGGGGGGGGGGGGGGGGGGGGTAGTTGGACCCAGATTCTACATGTTTTAGTAGTGTTAAAAGCGCTGGCGTTCTGAAATATACAACATGCGATATTAACGGCATTGCAGAACAGAACACCCCAGTAACGGTATGCGAAGGGCACGGGGCTCAGAAAGAACCAATCAGATGTTGTGTATAAAAGCGGAGTCTGGGGAGACTAACGTCAAACTTACCAGTTTCACGCGCGACTGGATTATTGGTATGTCCAAATTTACATTTTAGTTTCCAGTTTTTAACTAATTATAAAAGATGACCTATTGGGGCCCTGAAAGGGTAAGTTTTTGACCTGGATAACTTGGGGCAGTTATGTTTGTATTACATGTCTGCAAGACGACGAACTAACAAACTGAACCGGAAACTGTGAGAAAAGTAGTAACGCCCCGTCCAGCTGTCATATCGTAAATGATAACGCTAATGAATTCCGCGATATTAGTTTACAACTACACATAGAATCATCCCATAGGGAGAGATCTTAATAATCAATACCGTCCACACAATAAGGTGATTGACTCAGAATCGATAAAAGCCATAATTCTCTTGCCAAGGTCTGCATTTTTAAACACAGTAATCGACCTCTAGGAACACATTTAATTGTACAGAATAGATAAAGCAAAAGAAATATTTCACAGAATGAAGAATACTGTTTACAATATACATACATATATATATATATATATATATATATATATATATATATATATATATATATATATTGCAAACAGAGGTGAAGAGAGATGTTTTTAGGAGCTAAATCTAGTCACTCCTGGTTGTCAGAGGTGAATCATGGACAGTCAACAGATAGGTGTTTAATTATGCAGATATCGCAAAGATGTAGTTTATTATACAAATACTGAGAACACTATGAACAGCCAAAATAAAGATGTCCTGACATAAATTAATTTTTGTAGATAAATGAACCTGCACTTTAGGCATTCAGTTGAGAACAAGGAGGGGGTAAAGGATAATAAAAAGAAGAGGAAGGTTAAGACGCAGATTAGCAGAAAGAGGTGGGGAAGGGTGGGGATATAAATCGGGGATATCTGCAGCAATTAACCTCAACGATTAAGAAGGGTAAAGAAGAAGAAAACGTTAGGAACAGTACTTTTGCTCGACTTCATGGATAACGTATTTACCTGAGTGATTCTGCATAATTAGCCTGGCAAACATGTTCTGTATTTTTTAAAAGCTTTTCGCTACATGAATTTAAATATTATAACATTTTTACGGCATTTCTATTTTGATTTCTCCCACAGCACATATCTTATTTTGTTCCCAAATATTCCAGTTTTACATTTGTTATTAATATTCCAGTTTTACATTTGTTATTAATATTCCAGTTTTACATTTGTTATTAATATTCCAGTTTTACATTTGTTATTAACACGAAGCAGCAACAACAACAACAAAAAAGTATACTCAAGCCAGGCAAATCCTGGGTGGTCGGGCTGAAGATGCCATGGAACATGTTGAGGTAAGTTGAGTTGAGTCAAGAATTGACATCGCAGCACTCAGGTATTTCCGTGTATGTTCCGTCCTCATCTTCAGCAGCCAGCGCAGAGTTCGAAAACTGATGGTACTTCAACCTCCGTAGTACCCGCTGGCCACTTCCTGAACACCCGGCCAAATGTGATCATAACCCTACACAGGTCAAACTTTCCCGCTAGTACTCTGTCCCACTCCTCTCCTTGCCCAATGTTCTCCAACATGCATACTTGTCTTATTGTGTCTTCTGCTTGAGCCATCCACGATTTTCCCTTTTTCAGCCTTTGACCCTTGCCTGCAGCCAAAGCTTCATACAGAGGGTGTTCCCTGTCTGCAGCTACTTTGAGGTATGACTTAGCCTGCAGCACCTTTAGCCTATTTGCAACAGTCGGCAATGCAAGGATATATTGCATGCATACAATCTGGGTGTCTCTTGTACAACCCAGGATCAGCGCCATAGCTTCATTCTGTATGCGCTCCAGTGTCTCATCGAACATGTTTGCCTCCTCACTGACATACATTTTGGAATTGAATGGATAACTATGCCTCCCTCTCCAAACTTTAGTATTACAGTCCATATCACGCTTGATGGAAGATGTAGAGAGCAGATTCCTGGCATTGTTGACACTTTAGTCAGAACACTGATTGACGAAAACACAAATGAAAGTGATGCTATAGTTTATACAGATGGGTCAGTAATTAGGGGCAAGCGAAGTGCATGGGCATTCACAGTAAGCTCAAGGGGGAAAACCATCAATGAGATGAATGACGCCTTCGCAGTTACAACTAGTAACCTTAAAATGGAAACTATGGCTCTAACAAGGGCCTTAGCATGGCTGGGTACTCAAAAGTACACACACCTATGCATTCTTAGTGACTCGATGAATATGCTGAAAAAATCCAAGTGGGATTTATCAGGCAAAGAATAGATCGCAACACTAAGCACTTCACGAATATCTGCCCCATCCTTGAACTTTGCGCTAGGTCATACGGGTGTTCGAGGGAACGAGTGGGAAGACCAGCTTGCTGACACTGCGGTTGTTATGGCTGGCTCAGTACTAGACGGAAGTGATGTTATCGATGCCATGCGCTGCCCTTACAGTACCGAGGGGCACGTCAAAGGACATGACTCTCTATCCCTGTCTAGACTGATGGGCGTGGGGTGCAGCATGAAGCTGCAAGAAATAAACATTTCACTAGGGTGACATGACGTTTCATTAACCAACACAGAACAGGCGTCATAAGTCGTTTTACACTTGTAGAGCTTTTGACGAGGAGATCGGAGCACCTATGAATCTGTCCGGAGTGCTGTGATGATAATCCTTACTAATCACTAATCACGTCCTTTCTTGTCAGATCCTCACTTAATTCTTTTTTTTTTAAACAACAACTTACACATGTTGTTTTATCAAACATCGTATCTTCATAAATGGTCTCAAAACATAACAAATAATACACAAACTATGTAATGTGATAAATTATGATTTAGTATTTTCAGTTGAGAAAAAAAAAAAAATTCGAACTGACTTTTAGCTCAATGAAATAACAAATCTATTAGCGAAACTAAGGCGTGTATTTCATCGAAGGCTAACAACAAACAATAAAAACAAAATATAATGTTTTTGTCATTATTTAACTGAAGGCAAGTACTTACGAACAGGGCCTAGCGTGCTGTGATACAGAAATTCGACCTCATCAGGCGGCACCGTAAGGGGACTGCATAAGCAGCAAAATCTGAATACAATTTGAACTTCTGATCAACAGCGCCAAGCTATTTAGGTGCGACATTTCAAAGTCTTGCATCTTACTGAGAAAATCTACCACATGAGACCGTTTACGAAAGCATGGTATTTGAATTACAGACTTCACCGTGTGGAGAAAACAAGAAAATTCCATTGCTTTCCCAACAAGCATGTCGTAGCAGTCAACTAATTGGAGACTTCCTTCGAAGTCGGAGTGCTCTGCCCGAGTGGCAAAGAACAATCATCTACACAAAGCCAGTAAAACGGGTGTTCACACGAAACTCCAAATTCGCGAACAACCAGGGCCGGAGCTTACAACTGGTGAACAAAGAAGAAGAAGAAGAAGAAGCAAGCAAGATACATTCGCCTGTGAATTGACACAGATTCTTTTGCTACCAGGTCAGAATATGGAGAGTAATCCACAATTTTTTTAGTTCGTGAAAGTTACGTTGTAAGCATGCAGCATTGATCTAAGGGTCCAGTTAATTCTTTTTTTTTTTTTTTTTCATACTCTAACTACAGTTAGGGCGTTACTACGAAAAAGAATAAAATCGACGATATCGGTCCTGACAACAGTGCACTTTAAGTATGTAAACCTACCTCTTTTCTTTATTAGCGATCTCACTGACTTGCGTCGAGGAGGCCTCACAGGATCGCCCCCACCATCCCCCACATCAATGCTTTCAGTAAAGGTGAGTTTGGACCACATGGCTCGCTCTCTGTCACGTTCATTAGCAAACTCTTGCAACAGATCTTCCGTGCTTCCAATGTTGTAGTAAGCTCCCTTGAACTTCGTTTTAGTGTTGATTCTGTCTTCAACTTCAGATAAGCAGCTTCGGGCGTCGGCATTGAACTCGCTCGCGTCAGCGTCTGCTTCGTTCCCAGAATCATTGGGAGACTCTCTAATGCAGTCTTCTTCCAGGGTATTAAAGAGCTCATCGTCAGCCTGCAGGGTATCCATTCTTGTGAGGCTTTCCTCTTGGTCGACATCTGCAAATAAAAACAAAAATGTTTCTCTTAGAGTACATTAGCTATAGCTAACCACTATTAATATGCAAAGAACGGCTATGGGTGATCTTTTTTCTTCTTCTTCTTTTTCTGCCTTCGTCAGCAGTTGGCACGTTGTATTGTAATTTATAGCAGGACCACGATATCTGCACCTTTTAGGGTAGCATATACGTCATCAAACTCCTAATTAGTGCTTGTTTTTGACATGGATTTTAGTGGCATTGGATCCATACCCCCCTCCCCCCTCCTTTTCCCGCAACCTCTAATAGGGTTCAGGAACATGTAAAGAAGCTAAGGATAAATACCATTATGTAAAATATACACTGCGACAATTAAATCATAAGAAGAATTCTGTATGGCCAACACAAAAGCGCTATCCACAAGGCAAGCATGTCATCCAAGCAAGATACATTCGCTTGTGAATTGACACAGATTCTTTTGCTACCAGGTCAGAAGATGGAGAGTAATCCACAATTCTTTTAGCTCGTGAAAGTTACGTTGTAAGCATGCAGCATTGATCTAAGGGTCCAGTTAATTCTTTTTTTTTTTTTTTTTTTCATACCCCGAAAAGTGCACTTCAGACAGTTAAACTGATGAGCACTTTTCCGAGTTTGAAACAGAATGAATATTTACCTTTTCAATAGAAAAACAAAATGGTGTGTTCCTTGCTTGGAAAAGTTATTTCTAAGCGTCAAACATTACAATAATAAATAAAAAACAAAATCGTTTCCCTAAATATTAAAAAAAAAAAAAAAAACATGTTTACAATTAATAAAAGACATCCGCCACGCATTTAAATCAATAACGACGAGATTGAAAATGTGGCATATTTTGAATAATTAGGCGCAGTAGTCAATAACAATGGAGAATGTACAAATAAAGTTAGAAAAAAAAGACTTGCTCTAGCCAAGACAGTCTCCATCAGATGGAGACTGTCTTGTTCTAGCAATGCAGAAACAATATTGTGAGATCAAAACTGGAACATGTTGTGGCCACTGGAAAAGTGTGCTTTCTGAGTCAGTTTCAATCACGATATGTATGCGTGCGTGTGTGTGTGTGTGTGATGCTTATTGGTCCCAATTATTGTTTAGCTCTATATCTTTATTTGATGTCTTCTCATGATCATTTTCAAAGTAAAAATCGCGACGAAATGAGGACAAAGTCAAAAATACAATTTAACAGCACTAAGCCACAATTTTAGTTTTACTTGGCACTGGTGACGGAACTAGCGGACTCAACCCCACCCTGAGAAACAGTGTAGGATGGGGGAACTCAGCAACAACTCCCTACCCACTTAGACAGTTTGGATAATTACCATTAGCCATTTTTTTTTTTTTTTTTTTTAGGTATTTATTATTATATATATTTCAAATATCTTATTACATTTTTTGCCGTTTAGAAGTTCATAATAATAGTCAGAATATTATTGAATATATAAACAGTTTATAATATTATTGCAAATAATAATAGTCATACTATTATTGAAAAAAAATATTAATATTAATATAAGGTATTTTGTAAGTGGTCGAAGCGCTTCCACTCCCTAGTAAATTTGCCACCCCAATGTCAGAAATGTACTTTATTTATTTTCACAGGGAATATTTTACGTCATCATTAATATTGCTAGGAAATAAAACATGAAAAAAAAAAAACGTAAACATTACAATAACTAATACAATTTTAACATAATTAACTGGTGCCAGCACAAAGTTAGAAAAAAAAATTGGAACGTGTGACTGAGTTTATAACGATGTTTAATGACGGAAATAATCAAGTTCAAGAGAGAGGGAAAAAAATGAGGTCAGGGAAAAAAGCTGGATCTGGACAGAACACTAGAAAATGTTTATTTCGTATCTTTTAAAGGACGCTGTAGAACCAACCCTGTATTGTTTTGATGTTCGGTTCACTAGACAATTTTGCACTCTATAGTTTGATATCTGTATCTATAGATACGAGTCGAACGTCTTATTTTAGAACACGTACATAAATGTAAGTATCTGGGCACATGGATAACTTGCGATGGAAGATGTATGACAAAGATAAAGATAAAAATAAGTCCGTTTTACAAAACAGATGTGCAAGCGACACTCAGGTTCTGGAAACATAAGCCTAAAGTCCAGAACTTTCCGCTGGAGTTTACAGCTGGTGAACGCAAAGAAGACGAAGTAACAGAAGAATAGAAGAGACCACTGACTTTTATAAAATGAAAAACATTTTATGCAATAAATCCATGTCATTAGATGTTAGGAAAAGAATTCTGGCAAGCTATATTGAGCCATTGTTGAGATACAGTCGTGAACAATGGACTATTAATAAACAAGCCGAACAATATCTTGAGGCCTCGGAGGTGTGGTTTTACAGAAGAATCCTTAGAATTCCCAAGACAGTTAAAAGGAGTAACCCTGATATTTTGGAAAATGTAATATGTAACCACTGGAAAGATTCGCGGAAAGAGAGACAGAGGAAGACAGCGTGAGAAAATTCTTGACTTTTGTCATGGCATTGAGGGGTGTCAACACACGAACTGATACACGCAGTTGCGGATCGCAGAATGTGGAGAGGCATGATCGCTCACGCCAGTTGGCAAGGCACTTGATGATGATGAGTTTGAATACTGAACTGTCGGTTCTCGATACCTTTGTCGAAATCAGCATAAAGCAGTTTTGCTGCCAAACCGTATGCAGCTGGAATAGATATTGGAAAATGTACAATAATATAAGTAACATTCCTTTACACTTGTCCCACGTAGGTTACGATATATAAAGAGACAAATCGTGAAAAAGAGAAGTGCAGAAAAGGGTTTCTAAGAAAAATATTTTCAGTGAGATCTAAACGAGATGGTACAGGCAGACGAGAGCGATGTGACTGAGATGGTATAATCCACTGGTGAACACATGAAAGAGGAATTAAAATGTCAAAGATTAAACAGGATTCACATATTTATTTTCTAGTGCGATGTTAACAACATTATTCATCGAGTGCCCTTTATCGTTTAAACAAATGAGTTTGCATTATTTACCTATTGTGAATAGAATTCTTTCTAATTATATGTTTACTAAATACTTCAGTCAAACAATAGACGCCCATCATCATATGATTAGCTCTCACGAGGGCTCGAATATCTATGCAAACAATATATGTTACAAATCACACTGTTTACTAATAATTTTAACTGAAATCTAACCATTTTACATTACTCTTTATATTCTGTGAAAGAGTCACAGATAATATTTTAAAAAAAAAATAAAAACAAGTCCCTTCTGATGTAAACATATCTAAAAGCATTATTTCTTCTTTCTTTAGCATTAATGAACAGCGATCCAGGTGTTTTCAACATTCTCTTAGGGAGCACTGTTGAAACTTATCCAATTTAGTTTAGTTTAAATTATTGATATCTTTACAATATACATCCTACTCACTTCTATCAGTCTGCAATTCCTGTCCCTCTCTGGCTATCGTATCTTCTTGTTCTGTGTTGATAACAGTCTGAGCTACTTCCGGTGATCCGTCTGTTGGTTCTTCGGTGATGTTAGAGCTATCTGTAATCACTTCATCTGAAAACTCTTGCTGATCAGAAGGTATTTCTGTTTGGTCTGACATTTTTACATATCTCTGTTGGTCAGACGCTAATGGAGAAGTTCGGTTGCTTAGCGAAAGTTTCCTGTCCGGTGGAATAGCGAAAGAAGTTACCGCGTTTTCTTCACTGGTTGAGGAAGCACTTGACCATTTCCGGCGCCTGGCTTCTCTGCGTCTTTCAGACTCACTGAATGGAGAAAGTGATTCTCTTTTGCGTATACCTTCTGGGGCGCTATACTTCCTTAGTAAGGCATGTCTTCTTCCAGCTTCTTCTTTATCCTCAAAATGTACGCTGCTCACACTTCGACTTGTGTGTTTTCCAGGCTTCTTGATGTTGGAATGTCGCTCATAGCCTTGTCGATTTTCCCCAGTGCTGGAAGAAATAACAGTTTCACTCTTCGCAAAAACGTCTGTGTCCGAAGCTGGTAAGGGTATGTCCTCAGAGTGACCGGACTCAACAACCTCTTGACCGTGTTTGGACAGGTTTTTTTCAAGCTGCTCTCTCAGTTTCTCACCTTCGCGTCTAGCTAATACAATACTGTTATACCTTCCAAGTCGCCTCAGCTGCCTCTCACATCTGTTACATACGTTAACTGAAGCATAGTCCTCGCGAAACTCCGCCCCCAGCACGCGGGAGAATATGTCACACAGATCGCCATTGCTGTGTCGTGTGACCACCGTGTAAGTCCCACCGTCCAGGGCTAAATTGACCCCACAGGTCAAACACCAAGGATCATCTTTACTATTCTGTCTTTCCAGTGACCTCTGAGACACAATACGTCGATTGTTCGGAGATGTCATCGCCTTTAATGTAACCTGAAGGTTAAACTTTTTCTGTTCCCGAGATTTAGATTGACCAAACTACTCCCTGCTCACATCTCTTCTACTCGCAAACACATCGGGTGTATGTAAGTGCTTCAGCGGACGCAAACTGTATGTCTGTATGAAATCCCTGCTGCTGATACTCCAATAGGCGGGACCCAGTGCATCCGACTAACCATAAAAGTACATTACGACATGTTCATTTATTCTTATAGCTTATTTTTAACTACGGCAATAGGCAGGTAATCAATATAACGTTCCTATGAGCAGCTCTATAAAAGCAAAACTGTTCTAGTAAACGAGTATTCAATCGACACCTTCTTATCGCATTAATTTGAGAAATATTGCGCTGGTTTGAATGTTACGTTAAAGTTAAATATTAAACGAGCATATGAAGATGTATTTCGAGTGCAAATAAAATTCTTCTTGTCATTCTTTTTTTTCTTCTTCTCCTCCTCCTCCTTCTTCCCCTTCCTCTTCACTTCTTTCCCTTCTCCTCCTTCTTCTCCTTCTTCTTCTTCCTCTTCACTTCTTCTTCTTTTTCTTTTTCTTCCTCTTCTTTTTTCTTCTTCTTCTTCTTCTTCTTCTTCTTCTTCTTCTTCTTCTTCTTCTTCTTCTTCTTCTTCTTCTTCTTCTTCTTCTTCTTCTTCTTCTTCTTCTTCTTCTTCTTCTTCTTCTTCTTCTTCTTCTTCTTCTTCTTCTTCGTCTTCTTCTTCTTCTTCTTCTCTTCTTCTTCTTCTTCTTCTTTCTTCTTCTTCTCTTCTTCTTCTTCTTCTTCTTCTTCTTCTCTTCTTCTTCTTCTTCTTCTTCTTCTTCTTCTTCTTCTGCTTCAGTTGATTGGATATGGTTGTTTCATGGGGCACAAGGAATGGAGATAGAACAACAAGGAAAGTGACTGTTTATTTGGCAGAGGACTGACCACTTAGTTTTAGTTCGTATGCTATGCCAGGATGTTTTCAGCCATTTAAAATCAATGTCGACTTCGTCCACTATTTCACCAAAAATTTCTTCAGTTTCCCTAATTTGTTTCATGTAGACGCCAGGACTGTTCTAATTGTTAGTCGGTTTTCTGTTTAATAATTCTGTCAGTAGTAACTGAAAAGGTCCCTGTTACATACAAAGATTAATGCATACACACCGAAAAAAATATATAGAAGTCCAGAAAAGTATTTATGCATATTTCATAGAATGCAAGAAGGTATTTGATAGGGTGCAATATGAAAAGCTTATTGAATAACTCAAGAATAGAGGATACGGTGAAAATGATATCATAATTATTAGTAACATACACTGTGACAAATAGCAACAGTCAGACACAACAGCATCGCCTCACCACAGATAGTTTGATAAAACGAGTTGGTGCAAACTTGGTTACTGACCACACGCGAAAGCTTCTACCTCCCAGCCATCCACGGTCTAGTAGTGGATCTGTTGACTACGTGTGTTTCAAGTCAGGAGACTATGTTGATAAATAGGACACAGAACAATTGTGTTCCGACATCATCATCATGAAGCAGGTCCTTTGCAGAACGTCGCTCTCATCACAGAATGTCTGAAAGAAACTCGGTCTCTAGCCAGTTCTCGCGTCTCATGCACTTTCATACTCAAGGAGTCACTTATATCCTTTGCCCATCTTCAGGACGCTCGGCCCCTGCCCCTCCTTTCTGGTACCATGTCTTTTGCTATAATTATTTTTCCAATCAGTCGTGGCAGTTGATATGACCAAAAAATTTCAGTTTTCGAGAAAGCGACTACTTGTTAAAAAAAAAAAAAAAAAACTCAATAATGTAATTGCCTTTACAAAATGTCTTTACCTTCGTATTATATATATGATTTACTGATTTAAACGCAACAAAGCCACATACCACTTCTTGAAACAAACTGACATTAAAATAAAATTAACAACTATAGGCTCAAACTGAACTATCAACATGTAACACGTGCAACAGCCTGTTGTGATAACTGCAGTTTCAGCTTTTACGAGAGGTCCGCTGTATGTTACAAACAATAATAGTAGCTTCGCGTTTTCACATCTAAAATTCGTCTGCTTCAAAAAGGCGTTCACTGATTAATTAAAGATAAAATTTCGATAACGTTTATTCGAAAATAAAAATTATAGTGAAAAACGAAATCTTAAGCAATTTCCAAAGGATAGGAGTTCAGGCGGACCTTCTGCAAAAGATCACGGCTAAGCCTCGGAAAGGCGGCATTCGAAAAACGGACTGTAGGTCAGACAACAGCATTATAAAAGCAACAGTAAAATAGTGGCTGATCTGAATCAAATCGTGTGTTGCAGCGGTCGATGGATACTTTGAGCATCCCTTTCATAGTCAAATTGTAGGTTGACATCTTATCAATTAATTAAAAAGATAGATTTTTTTGGGGTGTGTGTGTGGGGGAAGGGGGGGAGGGGGTAGGGGGTGGGGGCTCGAGCGGCAGAGCTAGAAATCTGATTCTAACGCAAAGGATGTTTTACGATGGCCATAGTTTCCAGATCCACTGTGCAAACAAAGATAGGATACCAAGCAAGATAATGTATTCAGTTTTATAAGAAAGTTCCGTTGGAACAACATCGGCTATGCTCACAGAATGGATGAGACCAGACTCCCCTATCAAGACCTCAAATGGACACCGGAAGGGAAAAGAAAACGTGAGGAGACCATGAGAGACCCTGCGTAGAACCATCATCTGGGAAAGCTCAGTCATTTACTTATGAACATCCAAGACCTAAAACAGGTAGCAACGAACCGCCAGACATGTAGAGCTATGACTTCTGCTCTGTGCGCCGCACTTGGCTAAAGAGGAAGTTTGAACAACAGATCAACATCATGGCACACGGGTAATAACATATAAGTGCTCCATTCTACTTCTAACACAAGTCTGAGTCAAAAGTAGCTCAGTGTAGTGCAAGGGCCCCATAGCCCCGGTGAGGATCCTGAAATGTTTTAGGTAGATTTTTAACTCCGAAATATGTGCGCAACAATACACACGGGCGTCCGATCTTATTACCCAGAGACCAGGAAACAAAATCGAGAAATGGTAAACTAGTAAAAATTATATTTTAAAATTATTTACACGTAGACGAAAACTTAAAAATAGAACACATGTAAGTGGTTGAGGGAGGAGAAGTTTAGCCTAATTAGAATATGAGGGAACGGGGAAGGGGGTTTTGCTGAGTCTCTCCTAAGTTTTTTTTTTTTAATGTTGATGTGGGGGGGGGGGGGGGGGGGGAAAAAAAAAAGGGGGGGGGGGGGGTTGTCGCTCTGTGTGTTCAAGCCTGTTAGTTTTGGCACCCAGGTGTACATACATAACTATGATTGAAACACATGTCTGTTGCTTTTCTTGAATATTCTGTGTAAAATACCGAATAGAGAGGATGGTAGATGATTACAAAGTTTTTATATGCCGATACATGTGTGAATCACGCTGCAGACATACACAAATCCCAAATCCTGCGTTCTGTAGTATATACTCATTGCCATAGTCATACGTTGGACTTCCTTGAAGCTCGCATATTCGATTTATAAATCAATACCTGGGTGTGTAGACTGATGTTGACAACACCATGTGTCTCATATATGTATGAGTCATTATTCTGTCCCTTGACAGATTTAGCTCTACAAGGTTATGTTAAATCTATTTTTGCTTTTCGCTTTTTTAGAAACTTAATATTAAACGCAAAAGAGTAGGTGAAAAACAACGGTGACGGAGTGAAATAATACGACTTCTCCATCAATTAGAAATATTGAACTTTCTATATAACAAACCAACTCACAATTGGCACTTATAGAAATAAGTAGAAAGACTGAAGTCCCCATTCAGTAGACTCCTACGACGTGCTTGCTGGGAAGGTATATTTATGTATTCCCTACAATGGAGCCCCGGAACCCACACTAGGAATAAGGCCATTCAAAAAAGGAAATATTTGGCAGCATGGGCACCGGATTTCCTTTTGTTGTTGTTGTTGGGGGGGGGGGGGGGGGGGGCGCTGAGGGGTGGTATTCCATTTGAATTTTGTTCTGTTGTTTAATTATTTTTGTAGTTTAGGCCACTTCACGAGCCGTTGTTCCTTCATGAAGGGGTGACTTTCTCGACACAATCAAAACTCTGTGAACGCATAGTGGTAACTAAGATAGAAAACCAGAAATTTTGCGACTGGTTTAAGGGAAGGTAATTAAACTTATATGCTTGTATAGACCCCCCATTTTAGAGGGGGAGAGGGACAGAGAGACAGGGAGCAGACTTATTTCTCCGCTAACAAGCATGTCATAAAGGTCGACTAATTAGGCATGTTTTCTTCAAATTCGGAATGCATCTGCGTCAGAGGTGGGGGGGGGGATGGGGGGGGTGGAGGAGAGTCTACTAATAAGCCAGAACTGTAAAATGGATATATTTGCAGGCAAAAGCTTCAGTTTATGGAATAACACATTATTCAGAAACGTACGAACAACCGGAACTTTCCACTGGAGTTTACAGCCTGTTAGTAATGAGAGGAATAATAAAAATCAAATTTCAAATACAAAGGGAACACATGCTTGAAAAATGAAAAGTAAAGTATGAAATGTGTAAGACAGCTGTGCAGACTAAAATGATAAAATTACGTTTTGGAACTTGAATTTGTATTTTTTAGGGGGGTCAGGGGGGTTGAAAAGGGGAGGAGTGGGTACATAGGCCTTCACTGAAAATAAAGTGTTGGAAAATCATAAGTACGGGGATAACATGTCCTATGGAAGCTGCTACAAAGAAATGGAATTGAATATACAAAGATGAAACTTTACAATACTATGCATAAAAATAAACAAGCAATTTATCAAAGAGCAAATGCTAACATAGGGCAATATAACGAAATTTCCAAAGCGCCTCTACCACAAAAATCCACAACTGAAAACATGTAATGTAACTGAGAGCGATAAAAAAAAAACAATACAAAAGGGAGGACAGAGGCATAGACTTTAGAGAGTTAAAGACCGTCTGACACG